ATTGTAGCATTGCTGATCAAAAGTATTCCCGGTCATATTCTGCTTCTGGGAAACACGGCAGATCTCCATGCACTACCAAGTGGACCTAAGGGGACTAATGCACCATAAATCAATGATTTTGTGTTTGAAAATTGCGGGTGCGCACATGCAGAACGCAAATTCCGTGTGTTTGCTGACATTCCATTGTTGACGCAAAGCAGAACCAGTGGTACTGTCAACAAATAACCCATGCGCTTTTTAAACACGTTATTTTACGCACCAGGGATTAGATGTCAACACATAGATTGTACTGAAACAGATCGAGAGAGCTCCAAACAACACAAGTCAGAGCTGTTTCAGTATCAAAGAAACTCAAGAGGCTTATCCCTTAATTCAAGAATATCAAATGGCGGTAACCTTGACGGTCATACAGAATGAGATAAATATAATCAAGGGACGCTCTGGTGTTCTTCAGCTCTTTAGTCCTACAGTATCTTAGCTACTGTTGCCTCACATGGGGCATCAACTGTAAATCACTACTTTATCACTTAATCATGCTGCAAAAAAGAGCTGTTAGGACTAACAACCATGCACTTTCACCTACTCCCTCAGAACCATCTTAAAATCTGCAATATACTTAAGTGGGCTGACATTGCAAAGAATGAGATGATACTTGAACTTCATCAGTTTATATATAAAGCAGTTCCGGCACAATTTGGCAACGCATACAAACACAAGGACGGGTCTTGTCCTAGCATTAGAAAAACCGAGCACTTTGAGTGCCCATTTTCGAACTGCAACTTAGACTTCTCACAACATCCTTGCTCGGGCAAAAACTATGGAATGAAGAAGTTGCCTACTTTCCCCAAATATAGCACGCATGAACGTTTCGAAACAATGGACCCTAAAAATATGCCCCAAATGGCCCCTTAAAAGGCCGCTAGGAAATTGCTTATAGACAGTTACGACCAATAATCTGTCGTGCAACTCTAAATCGCTCGCCCCGTCTGCGAGCTCCCCGCGGGCTGCAGCCGGCCCATCTGCCTCGGTTGCCCCGCGGGCTGCAGCCGGCCCATCTGCCTCGGTTGCCCCGCAGGTTGGATCTGCCACAATATGGAACATGCAAAATTATGCAGTGGCCAAAACCATCCAGCTCTGCCAAAACCCAGCATTTACCGCCCCTGTGGAGATGGGCCTCCGCGTGTGCGTATACTTGTGTCTCCGCGTGTGCATATATCACCAGCTTAACGGTGACTTCACCTAGACTTCACCTACGCCATCATCCCCGTCAGCCGACGAAACAACAACGTTGCTTGGTCTTCCGTTGAGGGGTATGTGGGAATGCGTTTGGCCAGATCAGGATCTTGCTTGGTCTTCCGTTGACAAGCGTGTGTGCATACATTTGACCAGATCAAGACCTTGCTTTGTCCCAAAGCTGTTTAGTGCATTAACACGCGCAGGGGGGGGGGGGGGGGGAGGGGAGAGGGCAATTTACCCGCCTCGGAAGTCTTTGCATAATAATTTCTGAACGAATTTCCTGAAATTTGCATAGCTAAAGGCAACTAAAAATGGATCTTTTGATCTCAATGATTAGTTTGTGTCTTGTAAAGTCGCTGACCTAGTGCAGATCAAATCCATGCAATGGCTGCCAGTGAAAAAAATTCTGGAGAATCGTTTAATCTGATGCGACGATGGAGTGTCAGACAAAGCAAAATATCTTTCCGACAGTTTCGTAGGTAATCAAACAATTGAATTTAGGATTACAACAAATTCCATTGGACTAGGATCAGGTATGTGGGTCGGACCGAGTTCAAAACCAGCCTGATTTTCTACTCTAGGTTTTGCTGTAAGCGGTAGTTTTGCAGCTTATTTCAAATTTATGAATATCAGGGACCGTAACAGTCATCTTTTATAAGCTTCTTCAACGTATGAGCAGGTCACTTATCTAAAAAGGTCAGCTCAGCACTTTGTTTTATAAAGATATCATCTAGCGTAATCATTGACGCCTATTCAAATGCAAAATAAAATAAAAATATCGTGGGATTTTGGTCACCATAACGTTTGCAAAGGTTGAAGAAGGTCACTGACCTTAAAGCAGCACCAGTATCCTTTTGCTTAGAACAGGTATCTAGGCTCAAAGCGGCTGCGCGAGGAGGTCTAGGGACACTTTGGACACCAATCTGAAGTTTGAGCTTGTTTTGCCTTATTTGACCGAAAGTCCATAAAGTAGGATCCGAAAATAGTCACTCAAATTGGTTCACATACAGGCCAACCCACCCTGTGATTTGGTCTCTAGCTCTCTTGCTCTTTCAGGTTTCAGGGGAGATATTGATCCCCATCTGAGCGAAGGGCATTCAACCGGTCACCCTGGCTCGTGGTAACTGGAAGTAGCTTTGTAACATTTCATTGAAGTGATTCTTGGGGTTACAGGTCTGTCAGTCATAAGGCTTGACGATGACAAGTTTTATTTCTCTTTCGCTATTAACTAACATTTGTGTGCGTCATAACACCTCGCTAATGGCCTAGAAAGTAATAATCCCTCTGGGCTTTTCTGCCTTGTCTGTTAAGTGCCAGGTCCTTTTTCCTAGCACAGTCTGCCGCGGCTTTATAATTTTATGTTCCTAATATGGGTGTTACTGGGCGGCTCTGTGCGCTGCGGTGGACGGGGGCGGGCACTCCTGGTCACCCGTTTGTGAGTAAAGGATAGAAAAAGGTGATCCACCAGAAGATACGACGTCACGCAGCCCCACCAGCTAAGTAGGAATGCTAATGTGGCAACAAGGAGCACAATGGGACGCCAAGGCATGTGTTTGGGACCCAATTTTGTTTTGGGATACTGTGCTTTAACAAAGAGCAGCTAAGCTCTAATTAGGTGGGGTTACAGACTGATATTGTTAGACGTGCGCCGCACTGAATACCATCCCTCCATGGCTCCCAAACACTCAGATAATGAATAAATATGCAGAATAAAACGATATGTGATGAAAAATGCACGACATGACATAGCAAATATGCATAATAAATGTAACTTCGACATGAAAAACTTACTTGAAAATGTCACGGTAGCGTTTTTGATGTCATCTCACTTTTAAAAAGCTCTCATTCCAAGAGTTATTTTTCAACTGGCATAGATCACGAATACAAAACATATCAGTACTTGCATGCTTTGTAAACAACCTAAATTTAGTTCAGTTGTGCATCAGTATTGCATAGTGCTACATCCTTCTGAAAAAGTCCCAACATGCATAAACTTACTGAGGGAATCCAAAAGTTGTGACGGAGCAAATCAGTCTGATTTATCTTTTATCTGATTGTTTCCACAAATGTCACGGATATGGCTGGCATCCATGTTAAGCCATTTGGTGTAAAAGTCATACTTCACGCACTCGGCAAAATACAGCATGCCTGGCGCTTCTTGGGTAGTTATAAAATTAAGCATCATGATCCTCGTTGTATGTCATAAATCTCGTGAGGTCTCATGTTGTTGGTTCTCCTGGCTATGAAAGGTGGCAAAGGACGTGATACATATAAATAATCCGAAATAAAATTGAATGGCACATGATTAAATCCAAAATGATGAGCTGCATCAATAAAGGCATATCAAAACATCCATGGGTGCATACACAGTATACAACATACATCATTCACCTTCAATGTATAAGTGACACTTTAATGGTTTCCGTAGGACCTGAACATTTGATAAACGGGGTACCCTTTTAACACCAGAACTTTTAGCCAGGGACAAAAGTTGGTGCCAAAGCTAAAACGCATGAAAGCTAGCATGGGCAGGATCGATGCCCGTGGAATGCCATGGTGTCTATTACAGTATTCCGTAACGTTTACTTTGGAACCTTTTTGTTTCGTCGTCATGTACTTAATCGTCATTTCAAGTGAGAAGTACCTTATGTGTTTTCCCATGAGGTTACACTCGCAAACGTTTAATGAATAATAGGTATATGATGAAGTAAGAATGCTTCCATAGCAAATTTACAAACCACTTGCATAGACATACACTGGCGACAGACGATGAGCCGTACTCTTTTTTGCTCTAGTTTTTGTTACTTGAAGGTTGCGTACCAAATAAGGCTGCATTGAAATTATGCTGGTGTGGAAAGTTAACTTAAAGAGTATCTGTGATATTTCAAGCTTGAGATATACAGGCCATTTACTCGCCATCAGAAAACATGTGGAAATGACATAAGCGATGTGAAAATGCATCCAGGACCCTTCAGAAATTCGATGCGCAACAAAGCGAGTGCACTTTTTGTAACCAGCGATCTAGGTAACTATTAACACTCATGCTGTGACAGCTTTCACTCGCTCCCACATGACCGTTTTGATGATGCAATTAAGTCCCATATTTTCGTCCCACTAGCACCGGCAACGCGGCAACGCAAGAGAACGAACGGAATACCCATCCCCGCTCGATCATCCTTATCATCGCCACGAGGACCCACATAACGCTCTCCGCTCGACCGAGCAAGCAATCCAGGCCAAAATCGACGCTGCGCCGGCCCCGGCAGCCACTCTCTGCCGTCGGCCGTCAGCTGGACTCCACGACGTCATCATGCGAGCCGGCGACGAGCCTGACAGGACAGTAAGTGCGGCCGTCCTCCGTCCGGGTGTCACGCGGCGGCGTCCGCGACGCAACGCGGCCTCAGTGGCGCACGCCCCTCGTGGGAGCGGTGCGCACGCGTCGCTTCTACCGCGCCGGCGATGGAGAGCGTCGGCCATCTGTCGCCGCCGCGTCACCGCTCGCCGCAGCCGCTGTTTTGCACTGGCATCGCCGACCGGCTATTAATTTCTGGTCCAGAGATGACCCGGCTGCTATTACAGCTAATGGCTTCACAGGACGACCAATTCAATCACAACTTATGGACGCTTCGGCGCAGATGAAAGCTGACAAGACGAGTGTTTGCCCACACACCCCTGGCTGCTGTATCCCGCGCTGGGATCCTGTGCGAGCAATGACTCGTGACTTTTCTCTCTAACCAGTCACCTTGCTACGCTTGACCATACTCAGAAAATGTAAAGCCTATGTGTTAACGAGCAATGAAACGCGGAACTATGCCACCGGTATGGGTAAGGCACGTTGGAAATGTTAGTGTACTTAGGAAAAAGAGCAGTTTGGATGGAATCGGGATATACGCCTGGCACATTGCACATAGATGCACGGCATCAGAATTAACCGTTCAAATCATTTTTCAAATAGTAGTTGCTGCGATCAGACTTATGGTCGGTCCCCTTTCATGTGTTTAGAATCGATTCTGATCCAAGGCGATTGTCAGCCAAATTATGGGTCGACTCAATGCCAGTTTTCAAGAACAGCTGTGAAGGAATCCTTACATCAGGCACTTTTACCTTTGTTGATGTCAACTCTGACTGCAATTCACAACCAAGAGTCGAGGAATCAACAGCAGATTCACCTTACTTCGAATCAAATGTGCAGCAAGAAGTTACTTTTGGTAAAGACGGATGTTGGCAAGATGTTTGCATCTCGACCTTTGCTAATTGATGTATTATTTTACAAGCTATGTTTACAAGCTTCCCCACTTACATTTCAACGCAAAGAAGAAAAATGGACATGACAATGTCAGTCGTACCTAGCCAATGTAAACTACTGGGTCAGTTTGGGTCTTCTGAAAAGCTGAACGCACAGTTGAATTGTTCCGGGCTGGGAGTCTAAATTGGACAAGCACCTCACCTTCTGTATGGAAATCTCTTAAGCCACAGGTTGTAAGGTGCATCGTGAGTTGAATTATAAAAGGAAATATTGCAAGGTGTGTTTAGTCCTTGCTTCACCCCGATTAAATTCTAAACTGGAGATTACATGCTCTGTAGTATAGCGCTCTTCATATCACATAAATGTTTCAAGCATCAACCTCACACTATGCATTGATGTTCAAGGACACAAAACATGCTGGTGGTCACAAAGCAATGCAGCTGTGTTATGTACGATGTAGCTCGTCGCTATGCCAGGGACGTGACACATATGTTATTGCTTTCTGACCTTAGTGCGTAAATACTTTCCGTTGATTGTGGTAAATGCCATTGGCGAGTCGGTGGAAGTTAAACAGTTTGTTTCAAAGATAGCATATCATATTGATGCTATTAAGAAAGATAACACATTCATGCTGTTATTCACGTGTACCGTGTGGCCAAGACGCGTCCTAAAGCACGAACCAACATCATCATCATGCCGTTACCTGGATATTGCTTTATTTTGAGATTGATATGAGTGAAGAGTAGATTCTTGCGCCCATTGATGTTGTATTTACCGAATTGCCTCCGCTCCCCCCCCCCCCCCCCCCCATCTTCTTACTTTATTCTCCTCGCTTTGCTTTCACCACGACAAATAATTTGCAAACTGACGGTTTCCATATGAAAATGGTAGTGGGCTGGGTTTGGTAGAGATTTAAGCAAAGTTACGCGTATGGCTATGTGTACTGGTAAAACACTTATGCAATTTAGGGTGTATAGTTCAGAAAGTAACACAACGCAACTACCTGTACCTCTGTTGGCCGTGCTAGCGCCAAATATAGAACGATTTAAAACAGAGCGGAACAAGATTTAGGAAGTGGTAGAGACATGCCCTCAGGTTGGTAATAGGTGGATGCAACTGGTTGGTAGTAGTAGATGGCTGTAGACATGGTCCACTGGTGGAATGGGTGCAGGACATGCTACTTGTGAAAGCCTCTGTACTGAAATGAACATGGGACGACGAACACCAAATGAGCGCCAAACCAGCGCGAACCTTCACGTGGTAAATTGCGCAGCACTGTGGGAAGCCTGCATGTGACATGTAAGCTGCATATATAAGCTATTTAGATAACCCATATATTTGCAACAGGTTTCAAGCAAAATGTATTCGTTTACTAAGTCATGTATTTCGGCACAATTAGTGTTATGCTAAAATGATAATGGGCCGTATTCCTCACGCCATACTTGCGTCATTCTTGACTGTCAATATTGCTTTTCCCGATGCGCGAACGTGAGCAGTTCATGGGTTATTGGGATGTGAGGGCATGCACGACTGCATCGGTACTAAGCCGAGCAGCCAGTGCAGTTCGACGTGGTCATACTACGTCGAAGAAGATTTAACTAGTGCAATAGGTTCAGCCAAAGTTGTCTGTGACATTGCAATGTTTCAATCGACATCGCAATATTCTATTTCACACCTAACTTTGAACTGAGGAAGCCTAGGTACCAAGTTCATGTCATACGGGCTGTGATTGAATATATATATATATATATATATATATATATATATATATATATATATATATATATATATATATATATATATATATATATATATATGCGTATATGTGTGTGTGTGCGTATGTACGTGCGTGTGTGTGTGTATGTGTGTGTGTGTGTGTGTGTGTGTGTGTGTGTGTGTGTGTGTGGTGTGTGTGTGTGTGGTGTGTGTGTGTTGTGTGTGTGTGTGTGTGTGTGTGTGTGTGTGTGTGTGTGTGTGTGTGTGTGTGTGTGTGTGTGTGTGTGTGTGTGTGTGTGTGTGTGTGTGTGTGTGTGTGTGTGTGTGTGTGTGTGTGTGTGTGTGTGTGTGTGTGTGTGTGTGTGTGTGTGTGTGTGTGTGTGTGTGTGTGTGTGTGTGTGTGTGTGTGTGTGTGTGTGTGTGGTGTGTGTGTGTGTGTGTGTGTGTGTGTGTGTGTGTGTGTGTGTGTGTGTGTGTGTGTGTGTGTGTGTGTGTGTGTGTGTGTGTGTGTGTGTGTGTGTGTGTGTGTGTGTGTGTGTGTGTGGTGTGTGTGTGTGTGTGTGTGTGTGTGTGTGTGTGTGTGTGTGTGTGTGTGTGTGTGTGTGTGTGTGTGTGTGTGTGTGTGTGTGTGTGTGTGTGTGTGTGTGTGTGTGTGTGTGTGTGTGTGTGTGTGTGTGTGTGTGTGTGTGTGTGTGTGTGTGTGTGTGTGTGTGTGTGTGTGTGTGTGTGTGTGTGTGTGTGTGTGTGTGTGGTGTGTGTGTGTGTGTGTGTGTGTGTGTGTTGTACTCCCGCTGATAATGCACATAATCTTGTCAAAAGCCTGGATAACGATTTGGTGAGCATTGGAGGACCATGAAAATCAATGCTGTGAATACAACCTGGATGGTACTGTATAGATTTGGTATTAATTTGTTTGCTCTCATTTCATGTGTTGGAAACGTTTTCTGCAAATAAATCGGAATGCTAAGCTACTTGGCAAATGCTTCAATATCATGCTAGCTGTTTTCATAAAATCGGCTTCGAATTAGCTGAAGGATTACGGTACAAACCTCGAAACAAATTATAAGGGGTTTTAGAGTCTATTTCCGAGTTGCACAACTGTTATTTAACGAGTGTTGCGACGAACTAATTCGCAAAATTAGGAAAAATAGCCTGTAAAGAAGTATGTGTTGCTGAAATTAACACATGCATCTGTCATCCGATCTCTTCATGCCAAAATTTTTGAAGCATAAACAGAAATGACATCCAGCTCCCTCGACCGATTGACATCATTGACAGGTTTGGAATTATTGTAAAATTTGGGTGGATGTATGCAATTAAGGAACAATTGCCCATACAGGTTTTTGTATAACTTATTCTGAACTCGATTAGCGTGGTCTAGGCATCGAATGTGAATAGTATTCCATAAAAATCTACTCATTATTAATGCGTTAAGTACATAAAAATTACTTGAGAAAAGAGCCGTAGAACTTTTAAGCAGCGAAACATTCATCGCGAAAATAAATATTATGACAAGCTATTCATTTGGCACCCTAAGTGTTATGGGTGGAGGCATGGAATAAAGTAACAAACGTCCATACAGCCATTCAATCATTTTATTTAGTCATTTAATTATCTTGCTCTACTATGCCAATTCCGGAAAAAGAGAAGGCTCACTAAAATGAAAGCTGTGCGATAGCAAATCAAACAAAGTAGGAACCGAATTTTGATTGGCTTGGAAATATAAAAAGTGGCCAAATCAGAGCAAAATGATTAAAAACCCAGGGGTGATACGTCCAGGTCAGTAATTGGACCCTGCAACTGATTTGTCAAAACTGCTAGCCTGATTATTGCGATGAGCTCACAAGACATGCGAGAATGATCCTGAAACTTGAGCCAAAAAGTTTTATCTAATCCACTCAAAAAGCAAGTAATAATATCTATCCTTGTGATACAGTCACACATTTCAAATTAGGCGGGCTGCCGCAGACATGTGGCTCGGAAATACCCGGCGTGACACTGACCTTGACCTAAGTAGGAAATGCTATAGGATTAGGGCACCTCCGCGGCACCGGTCTGTCTCTCCAAGGGACTTATTTTGTCGACCGCTTATGATCCGGGCTCAGGCTGGCGTTAAATGCAGGGCCTGGATACCAAGCCGGTGGTGCCGGCTGAGCCGCCGGCCAGACCGCGGCAGCCTCGGTCCCACCGTTAGGTGATGAGCTGGCCGGCCGGCCGGACGGCCCGGCGCCGGAGCCGCCTGCCTCCGCTGACCCACTGCTCCTGCCGTCCGCCGACCTTTCTGAGAGGCGCCAAGGCCGCGACAGTGGGCCAAGTGTGACACCGAACCGGACCTGACCGTCGGAACGGACTGAACCGGTCCGCCGGGCTGAATCGGA